CTCTGTCGTTCATCTCTGCAACATAAATTTGCTTTGTCACTCTTTCCTCATTCATTATTTCTACATGAGCAAACCACCGAAGCATTCCTTTCTTAATCCTGGTCACAACAACATTGCAAACCACACTCTTCTCTTATCATACAATTTCTCACCCTGTCATTCAGATTCAGCCCTAACTACTCTCGTACTTCTTCTACCACACCCAACTTTCATTACCATTTTTTTAATATTTTTTTTAAAACGTAACCCCCACACTAGGATTTTCTTCTGTGTCGTGGAGGCAGTTTACAAACATAAATTGCACGAGGACAAACATCTTGACCCGGAACATTTTATTTGTAAGCTATACAAATACTTGTTCCGTGCGAGATTCGAACCCGCGGCCCCAGCGCAACAACTCATTGCTAAGCTACTGCGCCACGGAGCCGTCAAATAGCTATAGCATTTGTTTAAAGCCATAGAGCAATACGGGCCACTGGTGGACCGGCGGGAAGTAGCCATACGCAGGCGTTCCCCTTTGTTAAAGTATAAGTCCACGCGATCCTTTGGGTACAATACAACCAGTAGCTCTGCTTATTAGACTAAATCTAGTTACGCGGTTGAATCGACGTGTTACAAAAATGCCGAATTGTTTAGTTTTTGCTACAAAAAGAGATCTGTCACGTCAAATTTACAAAAAGATGGCGTTATCTTCCATATCTAATTAATTTTTAATCTACTTCTTTTTAAACTTAAAACTTCAATAATAACGTAACTTCTTCTTGTTTAGGATTTGTTTATCAACATAAACCGCTCGTACTCATACAATATGCAGATCGGTCTGTATCCGAGTTGTCGCTGTCACCGGGCGATACTTTTATAATGTCACTATGTGTGTGTGTGTGAAATTGTTACTTTATTTTTTAATTGGTACGGGGGATTTTCATAGTAACGGACAATTGTTTTCGTGTGCGCAGATTCCGCCCGCAAATAATGATAGACAGTTCTGCATCGAGAAAAAATACTATGGCTACTCCCCTCCGGTCCGAAGGTGCCCCGTGTTGCTATAGAGTTTAAAGCAAATGCTCAATTTTGAATTCGTCTGGAATTTCGCAAAAATGGCGATTGGCACAAACAAAGCTAGGAACTGACATTACTTGATAAATAAGTTATTATTCGTACCGTTTCCATGAATTGCATGATTCGTTTTATTGTCTTCAATATGAATCACTAATATTCGTTATCACTTTATTATCGTTATCGGTATTCAGTAAATATAAATATATCTGTCGAGATGTTTCACTATGAGATAGCATACACAAGTTGATTGTTACTTGGTGATACAAGTTATTTGTTAAAAGGTAAGTTGTTGCATTATTGTAGTAAAGGTAAATTAATTAGCTAATATATTTTTTTTTAAAGTTCCGCTCTGTTTTTTGCTGGTTCTTTCCAGGACAGCGGTATTTGTCCAAACTAGTGTTAAAGTATTAAATTACTTTAACACTAGTTTGGACAAATACCTCTAAAAATAATTCAATAAGTATCCTGTAGTCTATATTGAGTAAAAAGGATTCTATTCTATTCTATCAGTGTGAAAAATAAAATGTCATGTGTTACCTAGTTGGAACATCTACTGTCCTCCTCCCCCGAGATAATTAACATCTTTTTTAACATCTTTTATACTCGTATAATGGATTTCAGCATAGTAACGTCTGATTTTATTAATTATAATAATTTTATTGTTCTATGGAATAAATATTTTCTATTATAACTAAATTCGGGTTTAATTTTTCATGAAATTGTATTAACCGATATATTTGACTATTTTTCTTTTATAAAGTAGGATGATAATGTTAAATAAATAAGTAAACAGATATAAAATTATTTTGCTATAATTTTTACGCCAAGTACTTTTTGTAATAGGTTTGTTTTTATTTAGTACTAGCTGTTCCCCACGACTTCGTCCGCGTGTTATTTGGGGTTTTAATTTTTTTTGCGCGGAACCCCCAATTCTTTTTCTAAAATAAAAGTAGCCTAAGTTACTACTTATGATGTCAGCTATATGCCAGTGAAAGTCTCGTTAAAATTGGTCCAGCCGTTTCGGAGATTAGCCGGAAAAACAGACAAAAATTTTAAAAATTGCATTTTTGTTATAAGTACCGTATATACTTTCATATGCATTTAGTAAAAAGATGTAATGTTGACATTACAAACAGACACTTCAATTAAATTTATTTGTATAGATTTATTATTATTAAGATGTTAAGTTAGATCGCGTAATAGTGGAGTAAGAATATCCACTAACCCATAGTTTCCTGTGGGTGTCGTAAGAGGCGGCAGAGCGAGAGAGTAGCATCTTCCTTTTAATGAAAAGAAAACAATAAAAGTGTGTGTGTACTTATGTACGCACGTAGGAAGTTATACTTCTTTAGCGTAACAAAACAAAAAAAAAACTTGAGCGACAATTACCCACTGAAGTTGTCGCTTTTAGGTGTCAGTGTGCGTGCATTGTAACAACTTCATGGTGTCGTTTTTACGTGTCGGCGTGGGCGCGCATCGTAAAAATTCACTGTCATCATTTCCCTCAAACGCCCCAAAAGAAATAATATTTCTTTTTGAAATTATATTATAATTTCAAAAACTGCCAAAGTTGCCAACCCGCCTGTCAGGTTTGGTTACTATGACAAATATCTAGCAGTGATCCTTTGTTAGGCTATAACGTAAGAAGTTAAGTAACACAGTCTTCATTAGTGTTGCCCAAATGCAAGAACAAGACGAGACTTAGCAAGTTTTGGTCTTGGTCTTGCGCCAATACACCTGGTCTTGGTCTTGGTCTTGGTATTGCGCTCCCAGTCTTGGTCTTGGTCTTGGTCTTGCAGCAAGAGTCTCGCAAGTCTCGCAATTACCTATTAGCCTATTACTATTTATTAAACGTTACATTAGATCTTAGAACAACTTAACAAAGTAAGTACATATTGAGCTTGAATTAACATAGCCATAGTAAAGACCAACCAAACTAATAAATGTCTAAATATTTAATGAGAAATTCGAAAAATCGACTGACACCGGGTGGGGTTTGAACCCACGACCTAAGCGATCCGTGCCGATGCTCTAAGCAACTGAGCTATCTACCGTGTCCCACAGCCAAGGGCGTCAATCTGTTTCTTAAGAAACGTTTACATTTAATAAGCTTACATGTGCTAAAACATATAAAAACAAATTAATGGCAATAACTTTGCTGTATTTTAAAGAACATTATCTGTCTAGAAAGAAATTGATGGACCCTCACCATATATGAAATGGAATAAAAGAGTTATACAATATACCATTTATTTAAATCTATACAAATAAATAAAATTGAAGTGTATGTTTGTAATGTCAATATTACAGCTTTTTACTAAATGAATATGAAAGTATATACGGTACTAATAACAAAAATACAATTTTTAAAGTTTTTTGTCTGTCTGTCTGTCTGTTTGTTGCGGCTAATCTCCTAAACGGCTGGACCGATTTTGACGGGATTTTCATTGGCAGATAGGTGATGTCACAAGGAGTAACTTAGGCTACTTTTATTGTAGAAAAAGAAAAAGAAATTGGGTTCCGGGCAAAAAAATTAAAACCCCAAATAACACGCGGGCGAAGTCGCGAGGAACATCTAGTAAAAAATAAAATAGGATACAAATTAAATTTCTTCACAGTACACAATAGCTTTGACATTACTGTTACTTTATATTAATTCTTTTGACCAAGCATTAATACAAAGTAACCATCTGGCTGACTCATCACTTAACCTATTTCTATGTTTTCTAATTACTAATGACGCTTTGGAAAATAATCTCTCTAAATCTCTCAGGTACTGAAGTTGCAGGTATTGAAAGAAAATCAAGGGCCATCTTCGATAAAATCGGATATTTTGTCTCATGCGTCCTCCACCACTCTAAAATGTCTTCCGAGCTGGCGGCTCTGGGTTTACTTAGGTACTCCTCCAACTCTTTAATAACTATGCCTTGAAGACAAGATCCAGATCCATTTTTACACATTTCAAGTGATTTAAAAGTATCTACAATATTTATCAAATGGGTGACGATATATTCGAGCACTTTGTGTTTTAAAAACACACACTTCCAAAAGTCGAGAGATGGAGTGAACTTATTGAACATCTTTATCTATTAAGTAATAATAATAATAATAATAGTAAGTAATTATTATAAACCCATATAGTTAATGTTATAATAATTACTTACTAGAATAAATTTTTATGATATCTACCTATCCTTACCATTATCTAATTACAATACTCCTTGCGAGATCAGCATAACGTATTCGTGTCCACTGAGCACCCGTAAATTTATTTTATTCTTTGGAACATGTACTCTGTGGCGGCAATCAAACAGTGTCAAATGTAGTGCGTGCGGCGCGGCGGCGACGATTGTATGCGATATCAATAGTACCCGCCGGCACCTTGACCTTGTACTTTCGAATAGCTGCACAATTTCTTTGACAGGTCAGTCATCCGACCTTTCATGACGCCGACAACAAGACGCCGCGCACTATCAAAGTGCTGATGGTCAAACTAGGGATGCACTATTTTTTTCTTTTAATCAATATTTTCATTCGCTATGTATGTTCATGGTATTGTTCGTAATACGCATAAGTTCAATTTTCCATTTTTTTATTATATTATTTTGCGTCTCATAGAGTCCCTAAGCGTATACCAGAACTCCTATACTCCCTCAAACGACACTCAGTCCCAAATGCAAGACGCAAGAGTCTCGCAAGCATAGTCTTGTTCTTGCGCAAATCTTGCACGGTCAGTGTTGGTCTTGGTCTTGCTAAAAATAGGCGGTCTTGTTCTTGGTCTTGGTCTTGCAAAAATGCAAGAACAAGACCAAGACTGCAAGACCAAGACCGATTTTGGGCAACACTAGTCTTCATACGTTCCACTGGAGAGAAAGAAAATATATTATGTGTAATGGCGAAAAGATTTGATATTTCATTAGTAATAATCGTTCTTTTCGCAGATGAAGTTCTATCTTCTGTGCATCACACTAGCTGCATTAGCAGCTGGCTTTAGTGCCTCAATCGTGAAATCACCGTCTTCCAGATCCAGTTTGTACTACGGATACATAGGGCCTGGTGATCGGCTGCTCAACAGGTCTGTACTGTATATGTCTAATCTGCATACAACATGTAACAAAAACCCTGTGGTTCCCTTTAAGTGCGTTATCAGAGTCAGTATTGAAACGTAAAGACATAACTTTTTCTTTTCAAAAAACTTGAACATTAAAAAATTTAATTTTTATAAAAAAAAAATCATTTGCAAATTGTATGTGGTTTTATTACCGCTAACCGACACGAACATCGGTGAAGGGGGGTCTTTCACAATCCTCTTATTCTCCGGATAATGCAGAGGTAATAAAACCACTTACAATTCGCAAATTATTTTTTTTTTAATTAAAATTGTATTTTTTAATGTTCAAGTTTTTTTTGAAAAAAAAAAGTTATACTGACTCTGATAATGTACTTAACGAAAACCACAGGATTTTTGTTACATGCTATATAATGTAATGAATAAAAATATTTTCTGTCTATTCTTCTTTATATATGGATAGATGACGGTATAATCTATTTTGTTTACGCCAAGCGTAAAATAACCAGACCGGTAAAGGAGAGTAGCGCCAAAGATGTGAGACGTCTTGATTTACGATGCCCAATTCGCCTTGCAAGTGTGACAATTAAGGCAAATTCTCCTCACAATGGGGGGTGGTGGTGGTGGTGGGGGGGAGGGGCAGTCCCAGCAGTGCACTTTAATGTTCAGAAGAAATAGCAATAAAATGTAAAGCACCTGGATTGGGACAGTGAGCAGTGTCAAAAGAACGTGACATCTGATGTAACACCTCGATGAAATAATATAGGATGTGACATTATTAAAAAAAATGTTTTGTTTAAAAATCATTTAAAAATGTAATTAATAGATTTTCAGTACCTACTCATTAATGTACGTTTGAAGTGGTCGAGGAGTGTCACATTTACCTAGGACAAATTGTGCGACTAGGTAAATCAAACTTCGGGGGATTCAACTCGGCTTAGCAGCGTTTGGGAGATTCCGATATATCATCTCGTCACTTGTACACGAAAACGAGAGTACAACTAGTGTGTGTTCTTAGAGATGACGTGCGGATCTGACAAGTGGTTCTTTAACTGTAGATGTGGCCATAAGAGGTAACTCAAGGTCGCCCAGCGAGCGACGGAGGGCTATGTTCCTAGTTTTTCTGCGTAATAGACTTCGTAATGAGGATATGCGGAGTAGAACTAGAGTATACTTCTTCTACATCACGATGAAGTTTTGACTTTTCTTGTTGTTAGTCGTGTACACACAGATTGTGTTTGTATGCGTAAGCCTCGGGAGCGCTACTCCCGAGCGCCTGCAGCCTACGCACACTAACACAATGTGTATGTGCATGCCTAACAACAAACAAAGTCAAAACTTCATCGTGAAATAGAATAATTATATCTTCGGCCGGCCTTATAACTCGAAGAAACAACAAAACTTCAGGAAAACTTAGTTTCACGCGTGCTCATCATCTAATCATTCAAAACATGAAATCACACCTCTTCTTGCCTAAACGTATACCTATTTTTGATAAAAAAAAACATCAAACGTAACAAGCTGATTATTTATCAGAACTGAGGTGATATGATACCAAGACCTATTTTTTATCATTTTAACCGTTTGTTTTCAGAACGTACGTTCGGCAACCGGCGATCCCTAACACTGTTCAGTCTCAAGATGTAATTTATCGTGGGAACTATACGACTAGGATATCAGCTATTCAGGTAGTCGAGATCGGATACACGCAGTACGCCACACCTTGGTTGCTGTATGGAGGTATTGGTACCAACAATGTAAGCATCAGGATTCAATCGGCGAGAGGATACGGATACAACTATGTCGTCGACATTTGGGGACGATAAATTACTTATTTTATAATTTAATTAAAAAGGACCTGCAATAAATATAATTTAAAATAAACGTATGATGATATTCGTATTTTATTATCGTTTCATTCATGTCACAGCCTTTTTAATCTATATTACTAGCCATGACCTTATCAAGAATGCGCCTGCTAGCATGGCATTGGCTGAAAGATTGGCTCAAACTTTATCCTGGGCATATTAATGCAGAGCTGTAATCCGCACAGTGGTAATTATTTTTAAAAAACTACGGGTGACAAACGAGGACACAGTCCACCTGATGCTAAGTGAATGCTGTGGCCCATAGACACCTATCTATCCTCAACCAGAAGTTAAGAGTCAAAAAGCCAAGCAGTACCAGTATTTTACGCTGATACTTCTTGAGGGCGTGGTCCTTCACAGGTAAAGCCGATCTATTGACGGTTCCGTGGCGCAGTGGCTTAGCAATGAGTTGTTGCGCTGGGTGCCGCGGGTTCGAATCCCGCACGGAACAAGTATTTCTATGGCCTAATAATTGTTCCGGGTCCGGATGTTTGTCTTCGTGCAATTTATGTTTGTAAACTGCCTCCACAATACAGGAGAAAATCCTAGTGTGGGGGTAATATTTTTTAAGCAAAAAAAAAAAACATTCGAGCTGCACCGATAACAAAAGTGCAGTGTGGCTATATCACGCTTAAAATAATCCTTAGTCTGTGAAATTTGGGTTCAAATTGCCATCAGTCTATCATCAGAGTTTCGTCCATTCAATTTGGCACAATAGTCAAAGTCAGTCCAACAACGCAGTCGTTGGTGTAGTGGTGTTAAGTGCGCTTGCTGATTATGATGTGGTTCCGAATTCGAATTCCGGGTCAGGATAAAAACATTTAATGGGGTTTTCTTGCACGATAAAGCTGTTGGTCTTGCACCTGACTCTATCCGATCGAGTTGGATAGCCATCCCTTTGGTCTACGAGACTGAAGTAATAGAGGGTACACCTGTTTTGGTGTTACATTGGTGTACTATAATCCTGTCCTGCATAAATGGCTAGTCTCTGATGAGACTGGTGGCCTGTTGAGACTTTAAATGAATTTTTACGTTTTGGAGATAATTAATATTAGTCGTCACACTTGAGAGTTATATTGGCAATTTCAGTGTGAGATCTTGAACCTTTTACGCTGCCTCCCTGTCCCCGATCTGGGTATTTTAAGTCTACCTTAAATAATATTCATATATCAGCTGTCTATCAAAAGCCAACCTCACATACAGGCTTATTTTTCAAAAAGTAGCTAAATTTTGAACTTAAGTTCAAATATATAAATAATGATATACCGTTGTTGAAGTTTTAGAAAATACAAGTAAACAAGGCTTCTACTTTTATTTGAAACTATCCCAAATTTAATGTGATTCATGGGCAACAATGTTTTTGCCTAGCAATCGACTCTTACAAATGTGTGCGTGCGCAGTAAAATCAGTTGAAATAATGCATTACAACACATTTTGAATTTAAAAGATAAATAGGACACATTGTTTGAGATTATTTTAAATTATTTTTCTTCACCATTTGTCTATATTACTTATTCTGAACCTTCTCTGCAAATTTCGCCAGTTATTGTAAAATAACCCTGCATAGAAAAGAAAGCCGAGCATTGGTGACTTCAATTCGGTGTCTTCCGGTTAGTTATTTACATTTTACAGCCTCTCAAAGCATGATGTTTGTAGTTGAACCAGGAGTGACCGATACAACCTGATAGTTTAGTAGGCTGAAGTGGTTGGTTAAAACTTCGTCACAGGTGTTTTTAAATAGTTTTTCAGCACAAACTTCTTTTTCTTCTCCATATTTTAATGCTATAGAGGAGCAGATGTGAAAAAGTGCAAGGATTTACTAGAGATTTTGTTACGGTGATAGTTCATTAGTCATTATTCATTAACTAATTGCAGTTTTTAAAAGTCCGCTGCTGAACATACGCTTCCTCAAGCCTCATACAGGGGATATTTGCCATAATTATCACACGTGGTTGGCGAATTGGCTACCGCAGTTTTTGTAGTTTATTGGAGTTTACTTCATAAGAATCGTTTTGTACATAGCTCACGGTATAAAATCAAGCGTTAACATAAAGTGAAGCCGTTATGGTTTTGCATCTCATAGCGCGAAATAAATAATGTAATGGAAATCATAAATTCATAATTATTTTTGTAGTATATTTTAACACATCAACATAATTAAATATATATGTGGGTTCATTTAGTTCCCTTGCCTATCTAATATATAAAAATTAATATTTGTTTCTTCGTATTTTATGCGCTACCATACCATTCATCAGATTGTGCTAAAACTGTCAATTAATAGATCGCTTTACGGGAAGGTTATACTCGTAGGCGTAGTACAATTAAATTACAGTAGGTGACGCGAGTATCATAAAGACAAATTTATTTAATATCATTCAACTTCAATGAATGTATTATTATTTCTAATTAAACAAAAAATGGCCAAATACTAGAATAGAATAGAATATAATGATTTTTATTTAATATTGATTATTACATAATACTTATTGAAAGTCATTTTTTTATTTACCACTGGTTCGGAAAATACCTCTGTCCTGGGAAGAACCCCAGCGGGACTTTTTTTAAACAAAATTTTACTTAACAATAATTTTGTTTATACAATTTTAAATGAATTATCATAGAACCAGCATGGTGGCGATCACCTTATTCCCAGGGGTTATTTTTATTCATGTATTCCTTGATATTATAATAACCCTTTTTGTACAGTTTTTCTTTAATAAAACTTTTAAACTTGTTTATTGACAAACTTTGAAAATGTTCTGGGATTTTGTTGTAAAAGCGTATACATTGCCCCATAAATGAATTACTGATTCTGTGGAGTCTAGTAACTGGCATTACAAGCTTATGTTTGTTCCTAGTGTTTAAGGTATGAACATCCTTATTCTTATTAAAGCTATTTATGTTTATTTATATACATTATATTTTCATAAATATATTGCGATGTCAAAGTTAATATGTTTATTTCTTTAAATTTTTCTCTGAGGGACTCTTTACAATTTAGATTATAAATCGCCCGTACGGCTCTCTTTTGCATAACAAATATAGCTTCAATATCAGTCGCATTACCCCATAGCAAAATTCCATAAGACATTACGCTATGAAAGTAACTAAAATACACTAACCTAGCTGTCTCAACATCTGTGAGACTTCTAATCTTTCTTACAGCATATGCTGCAGAACTAAGTCTGCTTGCTAATTTAGATATATGGAGGCCCCATTGGAGTTTCGCGTCAATAGTAATATCAAGAAAAACAGTGGTATCCACAAGACTCAACTCCTTCCCATTTAACAGCACATTGGTATTCGAATGTTTTACATTAGGTATTGTAAATTTAATACATTTTGTCTTATTGCCGTTTAAGATCAAATTGTTGGCGTTAAACCAATGTACTAATTTCGATAGAGCATTATTTAAATCGTCATATTTAATTGACTGCCGTTTCAGTTTGAAAATTAAAGAGGTATTGTCAGCAAATGATACCATATCGTGATTGTCCCCTACAAGATAAGGTAAGTCATTAATATAGATAAAGAACAGGATTGGGCCAAGAATTAAGCCCTGAGGAACGCCCATTGATACTACCGATCCGGAGGAACCTTTACCTTTGATTATGACTTTTTGAGTTCTGTTACTTAAATATGAAGTAATAAGTCTAAGCGCCAAATTTTAAGCTCAAAGCTCAAACGCTACTGAATTTTAAGATGTCGTTAAGTCTCGTGGTGTCACAGTCACTTTGGCTTAAAGTAATAGAGACAGCACGAGACTTGACAGCATCTTAAAATTGGGAAGCCTTTGAGTATTTGGGCATAAGTCTTTCAAATATAAAACGATATTTCCCCAATTATTTGTTCTGTGGCAACAAAGCGCCGGGTACCAGCTAGTTGGATATATATTCGGACAATCGTTTTTCAGAAATAAACTTCAGTAACGCATTGTAGCTAAGACGTACAATTATTTTAGGTTATTCGCAAGAAGATGTTGCTGTCGACCTCCTATTTCAGGTTTCCTCTGTCGCGCTTTACGACGCCCACCGGACGACTTGGGGTAGTGGATATTCTTACATCACTACTACACGGTTGCATATATTATTAAATAACTCTATAGGTACATTTTTATATTACGATGTGCAATAAATATATCATAAAATATTCCACAGTTGTTATTAATTCACGATTAGGGTTGTTTATGATATTTATCATTGCATGGAGAAATCTTTTTATGTTTCTTTTATCACTGTTAACAAGTAAAAGATTTCCCCGAGGAAACAACAAAGTAGCATGAACGCGATTGTCACAGAATAATATGGATAATATTATGTATAAATCTTCGAATGAATTTATTTTTAAGGATTTTATCGTAATTTGTTTATTTTGTATTAAAAAAGTTCGTAAACGAATAAAGTAACATAACAAATTTTTATTATATATTATATTCAATTTAAATTAAAGACAATAAAATCCGTAAATATTGGTTTTGTTTAATCGGCCATACTGATGATGCTACATGCTTTGCGTGGCGTGCTTGTTGATGACTTAAATTAAATTAAACTCAACCTTAACATGTATGGACACAAAATAACTAGCCTTTCTATGTTCATTTCATATAGAGTAAACATGAATTACATGACAATTCCTCTTTCTCCCTTCCAATATCACATTAAACCAGACGCTCGACTCGTCTCTATTTGTTGTTGACATACCAAGCAATCGAACCAAACGGTTTGCTTCGTAGTTTGTAATAATTTCTAGTAAAAGAGTAATATTTTTCAGGTAATCAATTCTCTTCTCTCTCAATTCTTCAAATAGCTCCCAATTTAGCGGCCATGGCTTCACAGATGATTAGCATTTGTAGTTCACTTGGCCATTCATCTTTAATTTTATTACTGCAGCTGTATTATGGTTGCAGTGTGAATGGATCGAGCAAGCAAAACACAGCCTAAGATTAAATACTTCGT